ATATTTAAAGCGAGAATAGTGTTAAGGAAATACAGACACACATACATAAATACTGCTGTAATCAAGGGAAGGTTACTGAATAGAATAATCACACGTAGGTTGGTAATGATCGATAATACTTAGGACAAGAACAACACATATAAGATTCGCCAGCAGCGCGTAGAAGTAATAGTCAACTGCTAGAAATGAGTCAAATGAATTCCACAATGAATCTCCAACTGCAGGATATCTACCAACCACCCAGCGCGGTCAGATGTGGAACAAGGCCGAATTTAATTTAGGGTACCCGAGCCCAGAGGCTTGGCCAAAAATTCCCCGTAAACCCTGTATAAAACGGTTTCGGGTAGCTGTTTCTCGAGACGAGACTCTGCCCTTCTATATAGCCTCGTCGGGGGATCCTCTCTGCCCGGACGCAGAGAGTTTGACCAGCACATCTGGAGATGAATTTCCGACTGCAGGATATCTACCAACCGATGTGACACAAGGCCGAATTTATTCTGGGGTATCCGAGCCCGCAGGCACCGTACAATATGGGGTCAGGTTGCTGTTTCCCGAGACGAGACTTTGCCCTTCAATATAGCCTCTTCGGGGATCCTCTCTGTCTAGAGGCAAAGTGTTTGACGAGCACAACTGGACACGAATCTCCAACTGCTTGATATCTACCAACCACCGCACGTGGTCAGGTGTGGCACACGGCCGAATTTAATGTGGGGTATCCGAGCCCGTAGGCTCGGCTAAAAATTCCACTTGGACCTCGTATAAGACGGGGTTGGGTAGCTGTTCCCCGAGAAATAGCCTCATCTGGGGATCCTCTTTTCTCGGAGGCAGAGAGTTTGACCAGCGCAGTACGAGAAGAATCCAAATGCAGATCAACATATCGTATTTACTACTACATTTATGGGAATGGGGACATACCCATTATCGTCCGTAGGGATGCTACAACAAATACATACATATGTTTTTAAAAAAATGAAATACAATTCCGATAGAGATTTTTTTTTTACATTTTTGACTATTGGAAACGTTCATGAAAGTAGATTTGTTTAGAAATATATTCAGTAATGCATTTCGCCATTTAAGTCTTCATCATATCAAAAAGCAAAAGAATGAATTGCGTGTATGTGTATTGGTGTGTATGGTTAAATAAATATATATATATATATAATTTAAAAGCTTTGTCGGGATTATATGACGCGTTTGACGGAAGAGGGGAGTATTCAACATTTGATACTTTTGCAGCAATACGCGCTTAAAGGTTTTAGGCAGTTTTGATCAACATTTCTTTTCATTGTCAGCTATAAGGAATTGTAACCTTACACTTAAGTAAAATGACAATAATAATATTTATATTTATTTACAGGAAATATCAAGTTTTACGGAAACATTGTTGACGTTTATGTATTTAGTTACATAAAAAATAAATAAAAATAATTTAAATTCGATTTGATGTGAGGTATTTTTCATTTTCTCCTTTGTTATTGGCAGCATTTTAGAATACTTTGGCTTCAGTGCTAAGTTTCCCAAGTTGAACAAACTGGGGCTATTTCGTTTACGCTTTGTTACCTCTCTTTTCCATTGCTGTTTTTAGATCGCTTTCTTTAGTCATTTTGATGGGATATAGCGAAATTCTGAAATTTAGAATGATCTTATTTCTATTTCAAAAATAAGGCCTGTAAAAAGGAATATTTTAAATTAATATACGACCAAAAATAAAATGCTTTTGACAAAAACCTTAATTATTTTATTATAACTATATAACAATAATAATATTCCACAGACAAATCTATATTTTATGTTACCTCATCTCATTGCATGGTTACGAGCTATAAACCTAAATTGAACTTGAAGTTTTGTGTAATCGACTCTAAGTTTTTGTAAAATACTTTTCCGTGATATTATAAATAATTTGCAGTTAAAAAAAAGGAATTTTCTATTCTTTGTTGAATAAACTCCTACTCGGTGGAACGCGTCATATATCCTATTTTTAAAACATGTCAACTTGGAAAATACATGGGTAAACAAAAAAAAATCTTTTGCTTTCTAATAATTATATGAGGATTTACCTTTGATAAAATTTCAGAAAAGGCTAAAAGATTTCTTACTTTTGAGCCATTCTTATAAGGGGAAGAGAATTTACCTTTAAGTCAATACAGGAAACTTGGAAAACTTTCGACTCGAACTGAGTATAAAGAAAATAAATGTTAACTACTTTAAAAAAAAAACACTCATTTCTTTCTTTTTTTAGTTAGGAGAAACGCTAGCTTAGGGAAAAAATACTAAAAATTAATTATTCAAAAATACACATATATACACATACACGCATTTCTTTCTTTCGTTTCCCGATCTGATGAAACCTTAAATGGCGAAATGTATTATTTCTAAACAAATCTTTCATCACGTTTCCACTGTCAGAAATTAAAAAAAAAAAAACTATCCATATATATGTGTGCATGTATGTATCAATTTGCAACAAACCATAAAGAAAATTCTGGTCGATAACACTAGCATCCTATATAGGTCCCGTTACCGAAAACATCTTGAGGGCTGTAAAGAAATGAGTCTGCATGCGACCAACCCTTGCAGACTCCAACGGCGGAATAGAACACAATATCTTAGCGACCAAAACGGCGGAAGAGGGCGACACCAGTCGAGCTAGCGTAATCAAGGCGGACCTTAACAGATCATCCGACAGCCAGATCCCACCAGATTCGCCAGATCTCATCTGTCTCGATCCCCTTTTTAGCCAAGTATGTGGGCTTCTTGGTTGTGCAGATTTTTCCCCAAAATCAAATCCACGCAAAGGGTCTCGTCAAACTGTTTTTGACTACACATCAGTTGTAAGCTTGGCCTTCACAGCCACCGCCAACCCGTCGTGGGTATGACGATAAACTATACCTGATTCCGAGGTAAACTACATCCGACAGCAAGGCCTCTGATCAGGAGGTTTCTAAGAGCGTGGAACCACTTCTTAATTGCTGGTGTTCCAATGATCACCCTGATCCGTGGTACCACCTGTTAGGGTCCCAAATTTATATATAAGATACAATCTGCATTTACGGCTGTTGGGTGTTATAGTAGCAGGAATTTAGACTTGTATTTTACGAAGATCAAAACAGCAAAATAAACGTACACAATACATAAAAAGCATGGTACATTTTATGCTAATTTCATACAATTTTATTTATCTATTTGTGTGTATTTGTGTATGTATTTTTTTTAGCTTGTGTTAATGTACATGTTATAAACGGAGTCAATTTACTCCGTAATATTACAAGTCATATCACAGAGAGTAGTTACACACGTGTTGTCATCCCGACAGTTCTTGCGTGAAGAGATTGAATATCACGACTTCTGGCGAGATGTCCGTATTTCCGACATGAACTTTTTTCGTTGCATGCTGGGAGTAATTTTATTATTTTCATTTTTTATTTAATTTATTTTAAACAAGGTTTAAATATTGTTTTATTTTATTTCATTTCTAATTTTCATTGTTATTATTATCTTATATTTTATTTTTATTTCTTTTTACACAGCATATAGCAACAATGGTAGTCAACAGTGTAGAATCAAAACCTAAAATTATTACGTCCTTGGTAAAACGGTATATCCGCGTTCTGGGTAAAACGATAAACTGCATCCAACAACAAGGCCTTTGTTCAAGCGGTTTTGAAGAGCATGAAACCACCTCTTATTTCTGGTGTTTCCAGCTCCACCCTCACCCGGTGTGGTAGCACCTGTTAGGGTCCCAACTATGGGCAAATAGTTAACACCAAACTGGGATCAAAACACCATGAAAGTGTAAACATTTTTTGAGGAAATATTATTACCAGCAACACATTTTTGGAGGAAAAAAATATTACCACCAATACGGGCTTGAAGAAAAACTGCTACCAGCAATATTTTTTTTAGAAAAATGTTACTATCAATAAAAATCTTGTCGGCATTAAACAACCCATTGAGATTGATATGCGATAAAACAAAATAAACCAAACAAAACCCAAACCAGCGCCATCAGAAGAGAGAAATGGAATAAGATGACGATCCCGATGATCGGATGTAAGCGGGTGCTGATAATTAAATAACTCTTGAAATATATTTATAGATAGTGAATGATTGAGGAAGTTGAAGTATCGCTGATATTTCACGTTTTTATAGACTTATACCATTAAAATTTGATTTGAC